ATTCAAGTATTTTTACTTATTTTATGAGGACGACTTACTTTCGTTGTGTGTTCAAATTACAATTATTTGTTGAATGTGAAATAGTTATATTATGCATGAGTAAACTGACAAACTTCCCTGCTTAGTGGGTTTTTATGTGATTTTACAGGGAATAGAGATTTGTTTGGATAACATGTAATTTTTCAGTAAAAGGATCGGAAGAGAATACACATTTTGCAACAATCATTTATAAAAAAATGCTTAGTCGTTTGTAACACCCAATACATCGATTAGTTTTCATCAGTTTCATTTTTTTTTCAGTTGTAACAGGTTCTCCTGCAAATCGCAATGTTGTTGCCAAACTCACGAAGTATTGATACAAATTAATATGAAACTCGAAGTAAGCTAATTAAAGTGCAAACCGCATCAGAAGTTGCCTCTGTTTGCCTCATTAAATATGCACACCGTGGCCATATTTGCGAAACTCCGCAACTCATCCGCCACATCCTACTTGTTGGGGCTGACTTCGCATGGCCATAGAGACCGGTCGCTACGTGCTGATAGCATTTGAGGGCAGTCGCTATCAATGATACAATCGCTTCACAAGTACAAATAGTAAATAAGTGCGTGTGTGACAGTGTGACGAAGTACACTATTATTCTGTGGTGTGTGTGTATGTTTTATGAACTTGTAGGAAGTATAATTTATTTATTGTTCTTTTTTATAATACACAGACAACTGCGCTTGTCATTAAGACAAGTAATTAGTGAATTTTGTTATGAACAAGAGAGCTTTCTTTAAATTGCATACTAAGGCTGAGTTGCACCACCTCATTTTAACCGTAAAAATAACAATAACCGGTGCTTTATGTATGGAATTTGATAGATATTTTGTGTTTATCAATGTTAAAGTAAGATGGTGCAACTCAACTTAAGTAGCAAGGTTAATGTCAGGAAAAAAAAAACAGATTTTTTCAATATTAGTTACATAAACAAAACTTAACAGTGCTTTGATGGTTTTAGTCGATTATCACACTGCGTCGAGCTCCGCCGCGGTACGCGGGACGACAGATTTAATCATTGTATGCAAGTACCTCAGTTTGTATAGAAAACACGCGCGGCACAACACACTGACAACGCGTCCGCGCGCGGGATTTTTATATGTAATCACGCGGACCGCGGCGCAGTGTGATAATCGCCTTAGTACCTAAATACAAGACCAATAGTCGCTATGAACAGTATTTAATACCGACTCCAGCATTTCCGTAATAATCCGCGCACCGTATCTCACCGCATCCGAATAAATCCTCGCTAACGACGCGACGCTGCTTCCAAAATAAATAAATTAAGTCTTTGGCAAGTTCGACACTGAGTCAGGGAGAGAACACACGCTATGCATGTGCCTGGTGCCTCGGGCAATGTGTACTACCTTATGGAGATATTAAACCAGGGGTGTTTAAAAACAAGCGAAGCATACTAAAACTTCATTAACCAGTAGAACAGTTGCTTCCAGCTACCAGCGCTGCAGCGATATGCTCTGGGTTTTAATGCATGATACATGCCTGTGCCAACCACTTGTGGTTGTAATTTTGGTTCAAACAAACAATTTAGGTTCTTTTGTTTACTAAACTGTGCACTTTTGTGAGCTAAATATTTTTTCTTTCTTTCTAGAAGGATGACTTTAACCACCAGTAGAGGATCGCTTAACATTTTCGTTTGGAGTTTGGAAATACATGAAGAAATTGAGTAATCGGATTTTGATTTTGACTTTGACTTGTAGTACAAATGTGTCAAGGAAAGCTATCCATATTTGCAGTCTTTAAGTTCCTTAAAAGGGGTCTACAACATGAATAAAATGTCACAATTTGGTTGCTTTACTGTGCAGTTCCTCGCCTGTCTGTCACCGCCTTATTCCTAAACATCGGTGCTAATCTGAAAAGTTGGGATTTATGAGCGCCATCAGATGCGCCATAACGACGCAAGTTGGCTTAGTTTTTGGCGCTAGTTCGAGTGGCTTGTTTATGGCGCCCCTTCGGATACTATTACATTGACTTTTAGACGAACATACAAGTTTGGAGAGCGAAAGTAGCTCAATGATCAATACGGGGTCAATCATCAATACGGATTGATCAACACGGGGTTGATTGGAAAATTGGAAATGATATGATTTAACCGATATAAAATCAAGTGGCTGTGGGCGGGGCACATAGTTCGTAGAGCTGATGGCCGTTAGGGAAGAAAATTTCTCGAGTGGCGACCACGGGCCGGAAGACATAGCGTGGGCAGGCCCCCCACTAAGTGGACCGACGATCTGGTGAAGGTAGCGGGAAGAACCTGGATGCGGGCAGCACAGGACCGGTCGTTGTGTAAATCCTTGGGAACACCTTTGTCCAGCAGTGGACGTCATTTACCTGAAACTCTATACTACTAAAATGTTTTAAATGACTATCGTTAATTATCTTTCGAACACCTGACAATAGGCAATACAAACGGTATAACCATTTGATAGCTTGTTAACACTAACGCCATCCAGCGACAACTGGAGGAGAAACGACACGTCACAGATTAAGCAAGACATACATCGACCGGTGCCGCACAGTTCTTCGGTACTCCGATAGATGGCGCTGTCCTCCATGTATAAAACGCGATGACATAAATTTCGTCTACCTCACTTCATTACTTAACTTATTAAATTTCATTCGATTGCCATTGTAAACGTCAAATAAACGTTATAGTCTAAATTCAAATATAAAATTATTCATTGAGTACGAGTACTACCTATCCCAGCTGAACCTGATCCGCTAGTCTGAGGCGCAAACATAGCTATTATTCCATATCAAGCTATCATTCAAATTCCCATATTTAACACACTTGTACAACGGGTGACCATTGACCATAAACCTTTGGTTCTCAACTAGTCAAAGGAAAAAGCCTGCCCTAAGTAAGTTTGAAAGTTAAAATAGTCTTTTTTTAAAATAAATTTGTCTACAGGGAAAAATGTCGATCAGAATTTTTTATACACGAAAATAAACATATCAGAAAATGCATCTAACAAATCGTTTTTTTTCCTGTATAATTTATTATTGGCACCTATTATCTTATGCCTTGATCAGGGGATCAAGAAAAGGTTTGGAACCTGTATAGGCCAAGAGATGGTCGAACTAATCTGTTTATAGCAATTAACGAGTCAATTAACAACTGATTGGTCTCAAGGAATGTAGATACGGGCCATGGTTAATCCGATTATACCATAGTATATTGTGTGTATAAAAGACGTATAGGAATGTGGTTTTGTTAACGGGCTTAACGTCTTCTCGATTTGAAGTGGTTATTATTTGACTGAATGATGACAAAGAGGTACCAGTGCAAAACCTTGGAATTCTGGAAGAAGCAATAAATTAAACGTAAATACGAACTAAATAACTCCTACTAGGTGGACCGACGATCTGGTAAAGGTCGCGGGAAGAGCCTGGATGCGGGCAGCGCAGGACCGTTCACTATGGAAAACCTTGGTGGGAGGCCTTTGTCCAGCAGTGGACGTCATTTGGCTGAAACGAACGAACTAAACGGTGCGTTTTAAGAATTAACTTTTGAAATAAAATCATTGGTCTAGTCTAGCTAAAGCACCAAGCCCTATTTTGCTTAGGTACCTACGTCACAATCTTAACTCATTGGTTAATCTGCGAAGGTCAGTTGGGCATTCTTCTGGCCGGCGATAAAAATAAGATTTTTGAAGTGTCACGATGACACCTCCCCTCATTCATTCATTTTTTACAAGATTAAATTAAGCGACTATCGATAAGGCCAACAACACACACATCGCATCACTACGACGCATATGGAAATAATAAAACCCAAGCGCAGCCGCGCGAAAACGCATTTCTCCATTTAGACACGTCGGCTACAATCATGGAATGCTGACTGAGCTGTACAACAGTACTGCATGCATTCTGTATTCGTTTTTAGATTTCCAATGGGCTTAGGGTGAAAAATAACTAGAAAACCCAATTGGTTTTGCGTATGCCGACTGAAATGTTTGGTAGTTGGAAAATTCGCATATAGCGATTTGAAAAGTTGCTTACAGCGGTAAAAATGCCGGTTTGGAGTTGGAGAGGGTTGAATCTCATTTATAAATTAAAAAAGATGAAAGATTAAAATACTTGAGAATAATACTTATTATGAGAGTGTATATTATTATAGTAGAGCAGTAGTTAGTGCTAAGTATAGCCATAATTTTATTATTATGTTAAAATTCAAAGTTTATAAGTTATCAAAAATATACAACACCTAGGCTGGGTTGCACCATCTTACTTTAACTTTGACACACATCAAAAATCTGTCAAACTCCATACAGAAAGCATCGATTATTGTTTTTGTTACGGTCAAAGTTAGGTTTGGGCCTAAGGTTCATTGAATGAATAAGGCTCCCTTTATGCTATCAAAAAAGCTTATTGTAACAGAAAAATTACGAACGTTTTTTAACAAATAACATAAAAAAACATGCTCTTGCAAATTCCAAAAGAAAAACAATATCAAGCGCGCAATAGATGAAGACAATTGATAAAACAAATTACGTTTACAAACGCGGTGCGAATTAACGATGTCGTTACCGTTATCGTTACAACGTCCGTTATGATAACGATGCGCGTAATGACAGCTGACAGATGTCACATCGTTAGCAAGGCCACGTGACCAGCGGTAATGGTCACTTGTTGCTGTTGTTAGATTTAATGAGGGCATTTACTATTTCTGTTTTGCTTGTCTTGATTGGAGTGACAATATTTTTTTTATAATAATGGCGTTTTGGACAGGGACTGAATGTTAAACGCATTTTGCTGACCACTTTTTTTGTGTGGGTTAAATAAAATAAAATTGTTGAGCCGCCAGCCATAGCTTAAATGGACCAAAGGCTTATTTAAGTACGTGCCTTCAAAGCTCAGAAATACATATAATTCGTTTTGGATAATCATGTTGAATCCCAAAATCTGCAATACCAAACTTACTTAACTTTTGCCTGCTCACCTGTCATTTTTGATCAAATGTTGTTGTGTAAAAAGTACATCCTTACCTGAAACAAGTAAATAATATTATTAATTAACAAACAACATAACAAGTTAACGATAAATTACATTGTCTTTGTCTTGTACCTACTATTGTAAATCTTATTATTGTGTCAAACTATTTCTATTTCAACTCTACGAATTATTATTTCACTAAATAGCGCACGACAGCTTTTACAGGTTGTTTTTCGCATAATAATACACTGTCTACTTCGCATCAGTTCGCGAAATTTCCCTGGTCCTTCGAGCCGGATAGTCGAACCAATCGGATAAAAAGCGTATTATCTACTGTCTCCCAAGTAATCACATTACTACGCCGCATTAAGCGGCGTCGAAATAACACGAGTGGTGCCACCGGTGAGCATCGTCGCTGCATAATACATGCTTCTGGATTAGGGCTGCCACACGAAATATTTACAATATTAAATGATAAAATCTTTTTTGAAGAAAATTTCAATAGGGTAGAAAATCCTTGATAGGTATGTTACAATTTTCGTGGCAATAGGCTCAGCAATTTTGTAACTAAAGTATAATAAAAATGGTGGGAAGACACAGCGTCGGTAGATCTCCAACCCAGTAGACCTAATGACCTGGTTTTTAATGTTGCTGGATGCAGAAAACTCAGTTTCGTTCACTAAGGCGTTCTATAAGGTATCTATGTCCAGTAAGACTTTTGGAAGCTGCTGATGAGTCTTCACATAAAACTGACGGCTGTCTGGTGTAATACTTTGCTTACCGAACAAATATTAATTTGCTGTTAACTGTTTGTATTTCTAAGGCTGAGTTGCACCACCTAACTTTAACGGTAACTATGACGATAACCGGTGCTTTTTGTATGGAGTTTGACAGATTTTTGACGTTTGTCAAAGTTAAAATAAGATGATGCAACCCACCCTAAATGTTTTCTGTGTATAATTATTATGAGTAGATTTGCTTACTTAGGTAGAGGCACTGTATAATAAAAAAAATATGAATTTATTTTATTAAACTGCCAACCCTGCCCTTGACTGGAACTGGTATATTTGCATACAATGAATATCCGATCCTCAGGACCCTAGCGGTAGGTCGGGAGTCATTCACTTTCGACTGAATTCGGTGCCCGGTGATATGCATGTGTTAACAACATTATGGGTGATAATGAGATGCTATGATTATGAAATAGGACTATCTCCAGGAGTGTAGGATGTTGATGATTAGGGATTCAATGTGGTACATGTTACTTTGTAGATCAAGTGGCTATGTCTCCGTAAAAATGAGAATTCCGTCAGATTATAATCTGACGAAGTGACGTTGTTAAATTACAATCTAACCTAATCTAACTCATTGATAGTTTATAATCTCACACGTTACTTATAAACTGACGGCGTTCACAATTTCACGTTAACAGATACGACTGATCAAGCCCAGTTGACAAGGCACGAAATATTTGATTATGCTAAAGGTATTGTTTCAAATTAATTGACCTATTTAAGAGAAATTAGTGGCATTGCTTGACTTGCTTCTAGATTTTCTCTTGGTTTTAGGTACTTGTGCTATCCATTGTATCTTCACATTATGATCTAAATTAAAGAATTTACGTACTTAATTTGATATATTCGATGAACTTCTAAATTCTTACAATGAATACTAGACCCCATTATTTTCCCAGCTTTACCAAAAACGGCGGCAATAAAATTTAATTCTTCCAACATAATGTAAACAAAGCGCAAATTGAATTGAAAATTACATGCATTTAATACACGAGCGCCATAAAACGGCCATCAACGTTCGCCTCGACAAAACGCCATAAAGGCAAATGGAAACGGCGCGAATTAATTACGTCACAATGACGCGGGACGTCAAATTGACGGTAACGGTTCGGTGGCGATGTTGACACAACAGCCTCACGAATGATTGTATAAAACTCATTGGATTAATGTCAAGGTTGATTATAGTCCAACGATTCTGAAACGTCAAGTGGCAAAAATCGGAACTAAGCCTTGGCGCAGACCACCAACTTTTAGTTTGTTCGATTGGGCTGTCATTAAGTACAGAGATGTATGAAAGTGCGCACATTACACCGATTTGGTATCGGAGGATTCTTCATACAAATTAAAACCGGGCCCTACTATCGGCCAATTAAAAATCAGTGGTCTGCACCTAGGCTAATAACCCAGTATTGATAGTAGCGCCCTCCTGTCAATGCCATATATCTGGGATGTTGATGGATCTCACAAAAACTGATCCGTACCAAATTGGTATCCGAATATATTGTTTTAAACCTTCATGGTCACTAATTGCAAGAGAGCACGCGGTCGATCGCCAACCCGCTGGATAGACGCCATCACAAAGGCCACTGAGCCCACCATTGTCCAGTGTACTCGCGATGCCTCTAACCGTCAGAAATGGAAGCACATCGCCAGGAGAGCTACCCTCGGAGATGACATTACCCCACCATGTACCTCGTCAGTGCAACCACGACCACTCTGACAAGAGTGCCCGACTTAGAAGAAGAAGGTCACTAATTATTAATATTGATTATTACCATGTATATTAATGTTGAGTTTCCGATATTTCGGCACTGTTGCAAGCATCATGGCCACGGAGTAACTGAGGAAACTTGCGGGAGAGAAGTTGCAACCATGGCGGTTGCAACAGTGCCGAAATATCGAAAACTCAAAATTAAGGTACATGTTTAATTATTATGGAATCCGAATTTCAAACACACACTTGTGTGTCACTACAGTCCAGTTTTGCAGGATCCTACATAACTTACTTCATTACTGAATACCGCAAAACTGGATTGCTGTGGAAAGTAGCTCTTATAAGCGCAAACGAAATAACTTGTCGATAAATCGACATCGCCATCACAGAAGACTCCTAGACAAAGCCATTTTTCGACCGTCAGCGCTTGCTCCGAAACGTTTTGTGAAGTGAAATTGGAATTTCCCAAACAGGACCTTGTCGGGAAATGTCCAGGAATCCAATTTCCTTAACTGGATCTATGATACGTTGGAAATTTTGATTGTGCTGCATCTGACTTGAAATATCCGGACAAGTTTCCTACGAGAGGGAAAGAAAATAAATAAAAAATGTAGGTTAATTAATTTTAAAGATATTGTTGTAATAAATAAGATAGATAAAGAAAATTATGCATCGGACTACAATTTAAATGATGAGCATTAGAAAATTTTTCAAAAGAACTAGCTGACCCGGCATTTGTTCCGCCAATGTTCATCAGAAATAATGTGGGATTCTAATGGTGATAGATTTTCGAAATCGGTTTTTCCAGTAGTTTCGGAGCCTATTCAATACCTACAATCAAATCTTTCCTCTTTATAATATTAGTGTAAATAGATGATATTTTGTTGTTAAATATGTAAGATCCGATAGTCAATATAACTGCCCATACATTTTAAATTCAGTGCACCGTGAACGTTGTAACGACGCATTGTACACGAATGCACAAAAATGCATTCAGATACCGGAATGGACGTTTACACAGAATTGATTGTTTTCTATACAAAATACATACAAAACTTGTATGAGACTGGAATATAAATAGGTTTTGAACTTTTGATGAATGGTTTGAATTTATATGGACAACTTTGAAAACATTCGAAATATGTAGGTGTAGGCGTCTCTACAGGAAACAAGTTATACAATATCAGCTTTTGCCCGTGGCTTCGCTCGTGTTAAATTCAGTTTGTCACATATCGATGTAAATAATTAGCCTAATGCTATTCTGATGTTATAAACAATAACTGTCAAAGTGTCAAGTATCATTAAGATCTGTGGGTCTAGACAAAGTGCAAATTATAATCGCAAACCAGTCGATAAGTGGTCGAAAAACCCCTTTTTTGTATGGAGTTTTGACGGATTCGATTTTCGATTCGATCAAAAAGTGCGTTTTGTCTAGGGGGGCTGTTCAGTGTGCCTACCATGAGTTTACGTTAGGTAAGCTCGCTAGCGAATACGTCAAAAAATTCTATGAAGATTTTATTTCTTGAAAGTAGCCACTAGGGGCGCTGCACAATATGTCATACATTTAAATGTCATTTTTTTACGCAGTCGCTAGCGAGCACACCTAACGTAAACTCATGGTAGGCACACTGTAGTTTTTGCGTGAAAGAGTAACAAAATCCATATTCCCTACATCTATCCTTAGAAATTTTCACATATATTATTAGGATTTGATTCCTCTGTGGTTGGTTGGGATGAAACTCACTTTTATCTTTCTTTCAGGTGAAGAAATGCAGTGCATAATCTTTTCTATTGTGGCTAAAAATGATATTAATAACAATTATATTGTCTAATACCTAAATCAGTACCTATTTAATTTCAACCAGTTGCAATCGGCATTAGCATTGCAAAGCTGGCGAAACACCTGGATGCGTTGTTCGGGAACAGCTCCAATCTGACGTGGGATTTATGCTAATGCAGTTCATAAGTTGAAGGGAAATTACTGGAGTTTAAAAGAGTTTGTGAATTGTAATACTCTGTGGCACATGCGAGTAAATTGTAGCACCTTTATTGTACAAACACGTGAAACGTAACGTGTAACGCCCGTGTTCATAAACATTACTATGAGGTCTCACAGTGCGCGTGGACGCACAGGGTGACACGAACCAATCACAAAGCTCTATTTAACGCTGTGCGTTCGATTTGCTGCTTTACTTAGGCAAGCATCGTTTGTGAATACTGGCGTAAGTGTCCTACAAATAAATAAGTCTTTCTACGCTTATGATTAGATGAAATGTTTCAATAACTTACGTATAATCTAACGTTCAGATGTCACTTTTTATTATTGAGCATAAATAATAATTATGCATCATGTAACATACCGACACCTTTTTGCATAGCTCCTTCTTAGAAAAAATTTATACCCTTTTAAAGTATAATTTATAATCACCAGTTTCCATAATATGTGAATCTGGGATAATTTAATGTTCTAAAGTAGTTAGATCACATTATTTGTCTGTCAGTAGCCAGCTATTTTTAAAAATAATTGCTTTCACTTAGAGTATCGTAT